TACACTAAAGTATTTCTCTAAAATTGCACAATCTGATACAGTCACCACTAGCCACGCTGGTGATTCCAGTATATGTTAATTGAAATTAAATAAAATTTCACATTCAGTTCTTCAGTCATACTCAAGTCTTCAATCGGCATGTGTTGCTAGTGGCAATTGCAGTGGACAGTACAGATATAACACATTTCCGTCATCACAGAAAGTTCTGTTAGACATTGCTCCTCTAAAAAAGATTATCAGAACGAAAGAAGCCACACCTATTTGCTTGGAAACGCAGAGTGTTTAATGGGCTTCGCTGACTGTTGTTACGTAAAAACTCCAAATACGCAGTTCGGCGTCTCTTTTGTCTGAGATAAGCAAATTCATTCATCTGTTCATTCATTCATTCACTTATTCAACACACATTTACTGAGCACCTACCATGTTCCAGACCTGTGCTAGGTTCTGGGGATAAAATGATGAACACAGGGACACAATAGCCCCAGCCCTCCAAGAGCTCACAATCTGATGGAGGATCTGATGTTTTTGGGTGGTGCTCTGAGGAGGAACAGATGTGGGGAGGGGAGAAAGGAAAAAGAAAGAGTTTCATTTTGGACATGAGCCTGCAAACATCTGAGAGTACATGAGGGGCTGGAGTTCAAGTGCAAGGTCAGGGAAGACAGACTTAGAAACCATCAGCCGAAAGGTGGTCATTAAACAAAGAGCCTGCCTGAGCTCATGCAGGGGGTGTGTGCAGAGTGAGGAGAGAATCCACCAAGGACAAAACCAACTCCAGGAAATGCCAACATACCAGGGGCAGGTAGAGAAACAGAGCCAGTGAAGGAGCCTGAGAAACCACCTCAGAGGATCATCACAAGGAAGTGGGGTCACCAAAATCAAGGGCCAGGAGTGTTGATTGAAGCAAAGAGGCCAAAAAATGTAAGGACTAGTAGGTACCCACTAGAGCTGATCTTGGTAAGAGGCATTTTAGTGGAGAAGCAGGAGTGGGAGCCAGTCTGCAGTGGAACCAAGAAGAAATGGAAGGTGAAACAAGGCAGATAATAACTATACAACTAAAAAAAGTATTCAGCTTTGAAGATTATGATCCAAGAGTCCCCACCATTTTTATTGATTGCACTTAAGAAGGCAGTGGGTGGAGAAATGTCAAGGATCTGGGATGAAGAAGTAATAATGGAC